ATTAATAGACAACGCGCGTAGAAAAGAAAACTGATCGAGGACGTGTAAAAACGTACAACGTAAACGTTCAACGAATGAAACATGAAGATGCATGTACATTTTACTTCAAGCGTTTCTCTAAGCTTTTCCAATTTTGAAAATGAAAACAAAACCCATCAATCAAGTCATGGAGTTTCACGTATGAGCCAAAACCAGCAATGGTTCAAGTAAAACTTACATATTTACCATAATGTCACTTTTGTTCATGCCTGTAGATTGCTCGTTGGCTTCAGCCATGAATTTGCAATAGATATACATGTATTTGACGACATTTTTTTTATTAACTGATTATTCTTATATATCGTAGGTAAGGTACCTATGGATCATATATTCCGTCGACCGACAACGACCTAAGGCTGGATCACCTGGAGGCGTTCGGATAGCCAATGAGACGAGCCGCATGACGATCATGTTCTAATCCGGGCGTAAGTTACACCTCCACCCAATTGCAACTGGGCACTGACAACAACTTAATTGATATATATACTTAGTACGTATAACAGAATCCTATCAACAGCAAATTGTCACACAGGTCCACAAAATGCTTATTACATACATCCCAGGATAAATGACACCAATATTACCAACCAGGTGTCCTACTGTACATGTTAATTTTTGCGCTACTGATTCAGCTTAGATCTATGACAGTGCCATTCAAATGAAGGATCGTGGTGGTTTTTATTCCTTCTTCATAAAGCAGAGCGACGATTATGTGGTATGGCCAAGTTCTGATCTTTGCAATAAAAAACATAAGTAGATGCAGACAATAGATTTGCCACATACATTTTACAATGACTTCTTGCTGAACAGATTCCGACGATTTTTCTTTCTCTCCCTTCATTGCATTGCCCAGCCCTGCCCAGTACAACTTTGGAAGTTAACCCTCGTTCAATGATTTATCTCTATTCCAAGAAGACATTAAAGTAACGTGCCAAGATCTTCACAGCATCGATTCCGGCACATCCATTGGATCAATAGTGGCTTTTCGCGAGGGCTAGGCAGCTTTGTGATATTTTCTTTTGATAGGTAACTAGGTTGCCCTTTCCTATGGCGTTAATATCAGACAAAGGTACTGTATTTAAAGATCCTTCCTTATTGCTCCCCAAAGCATATCTGCGAGGATGCGTTTCGCTACCAGCTAAAAGTCAAATGATACAATCACCCAATCACAGGGCTCAATGTCAGTGCAACTTCCTGTTCCGTGCTGAAAATAATGGGCATTGAAATGACCGTGTTTTAGAGACAGATGTTCCCCTAGATTTAGGGACAGTCTGTATGACTAGGACCACTCGGAAATACGCGCCGATTTTCAACGAGTAGCGAATTCAGATATAGGGTAAGAAAGGCCTACTATACAACCAGCCAAACGTTCGTCTCATTATCCCAGTATTATTTTATCTACCTTCCATGTTTCTAGTTCAACACTAGGGAATGAAAAAATATGCCGTTGCAAAGTGCGCAATTTTGAACATCAATATTTGCAAAGCTTCATGGTACTTTTTTTACGTAGCCTTTTCGTGTCCTTCCAAATTTGGTACAATCATGAAACCGACAATGATAAAACTGGAAAATAAATGCAACACTTGACCAAGACTTGACTTTCCCTCTTCGCTCACAGTTCAGCTGACTTCAGTCCGCGGAGGAATGCGGATTATACACAGAATCTTCTTAGCCAATCACAGAAGCGCTCTACCCAGATAGCGGAAACTGATCTGCGAAGGCTGTTACTTCTGGACATTATACCCCCTCAAAAGTACTGGCGTTGTTTGGAACAAAACAGCGATACTTCAAAACAATAATACTTTATCAATAATTTAAAACATGTTGCTTTAATTTATGAATTCTCATGCCGTCACTGTATCGTCAGTCGTCACTGTGATCTTTGCCATGAAAAAAGGAAACAACATTATAGGGGAGGACAAAGGCTTACTATAAGAGCCGAAAGTCGTCTGTCAGATATCCTCCGGGAGCACAAATCTGCGCTGGTTGGACGTCTGCTCGGATTTTCTACACTTTCTCTACCAAAATGGTGAGTTTAGAAGTCTTTTTTCTGATAACAGACTGGGCGTACGGGTGGTGTAGCTGTAGATCTGCGTGGTTGGAAGTAAAAGGCCACGATCCTGTGCGGAATTCGCGTGTTGTTGTTGTTGGCGGGTCGGATGCTGACTTGTTCCCTTGTCCTTACAGAAAGCTGGGGTTGTGTTCGCCGCAGCGGTGCTGGTGGCGGTCTGTCAGGCGGTAAGTTATGTCCAACAGCGCTTCTGCACCAACTTTTACAATGATTATGCAACTGTTATCTCCTCTTCATGAGCAGATTCACCCATATGAAATAGATGTTGTGATTAGTAGCGATGATAGGGGTCAGAAAGAGACAGTCCCAAAGGAATATCTCTGGTTCCAAAATCGCTCAGCCGACACGTACCGGGGAAATCAGAGACCCGAGAAGTGTTTTTGTTTTGTCCCCATTTTCGAAGTCTCCATCTTTTCATGAGGCAAAACAATAAAACAAATATTTAATGTCGTTATTTCGTTATTATTGTGATATTTGTGTGTGTCTGGATCATAATGTTCTATTCCATTGATAAAAGGCATTGGATGTGTGAAATATAATTTCTTTTCCTCTAGTCTAGACTGTAGGGGAAAATATTTGACGGCCATGGTAACGTTACCAACTTACCATCTCACCATGGCATAATAAAATGATGATATGATCATATAATTTGAAAAAAAAAGACTCTTGACGGGATTAATATATGTCCTTGGTATACGTACCAACAGGACAGGAAACTTGGTTGTGGTTGTGTGCCATTTGCCAGACAAGGAAGAACCTTAATAACGGCAATGCAACATACCTAAAAAGGAATTGGTAGTTCTGGTGCTGACCTGTGATCAACTAGGACTGAGCAAGGACATTATTTGGACTGAGTTATTACTTCAAGGTTACTCTAATCAAAGTTTGCTGAATATTTTAGATGATTGCTACTATATTTTGTTGTTGGTATTGCATGCACTAGTAATGTTAGTAGTACATTTTACTATTGGTTGATTGCATAATTTGAAGGAAAGTGCTCTTTTCTTCTTTGCTCTTTGCTAAAAAGCACATCACTCCACCCAATCATTATGCAGAAACCCCTTGCACTTTGCAGGCCCATTATTTCCTGTTCCTGGACACCTAGATCAACAGATGTTAGGCAAAAGCCAAACATCACTCATACTTGAGTTAAAGCTTACTGTGAATTTGATAGTGTCTCCTTGGAATGCAGCAGTGTTGGGGCTTAGCCTGCAATGCGTCAAAGGCCTACTCAAGAAGCTAAGCTGTACAGGAAGGTTAGAGTTGAGTACTAGTAATATGTTGGGTATACTAGTACACCCAGAGGCAGACAAACAGGAAAGGCAGAACAGATGTGATCCCTCATGGGCGCAAACAATGGGATCTGACTTGTTGCTGATTTGGAGCGCAGTTGGCAAACTCAGCACTAATAGGGAAGCGTATCCACTAGACACCTCTCCTGCTCTTTCCAGGGAGCTGTTCTATATTTCATCTGTCTCTGTAGTATTGGCAGATTAGTAAATCATTCATCAGTAGAGAGGGAGGAGACTTTCTTCAGCTGATATATACTGAAGCTAATGAATTACACTGCCAGTGGAACATATCCTGATTAATTGGTGTGCCAGTAAAAGGGTTACTCCTCTGCACATTGCATGCTGTATCCTGTTATCTGACTTTGAAGATAAGCCGAAAGAAAAATGATTTAAAGACACCCAAAAAATCGTGAAATAATTCAGATTTTCTATCTGCGCCAGTCAAGTCACTCAATACTATCATTATTATTATCCATACATGTATGTTCGATATGGTATGTCTTAGTTGTTTCAAGGACATTGTTTGAACCGTTCGCACTTCTGAATATTTTCTTCTGGGCAGAAATATTTATTTGGTGACACAGTTACATATCTCAGTATCATGATAGATGTGTATTGTATACCTCCAGCAGTTTGATTCATAAAAAAATGGGTCACATACAGGCTATCTTGTGTTTACATGAGCTGTTTGCTATTCAATCAGAATGTAGATACTGGCGGTCCTTTTCCCATTGACCTTATTGCAAACAGGCTGCCTTTGCAAACATCCCAAGCTTGGCAAGTATCTGTGAACAATGACGAACAGATCTTGACATATCTAAGTAACAATACAACCAACAGTGATATGCTGATTGGAAAAGAAAGCTGTACAAGTTAACCCTTTGTTCAAAATCAAGACTGAGAAGACCAGAGTAGAAAATGGCATGTAAAAATTTCAGGATACTCTCTGGTCTGGTATGCTATGGTACATCATGCAATGCCTTTGGTAATAGGTCAAGCGTTGCTTACTGGTGGGTTCCATGGCAAAAGCTATCTATCATCAGTTGGCCATATTTGGTAGTGAGCCATTCATTCATTCAGCAGAAAGCAACATACATAACTGCCTAAATGAAAGTTAGGTATGTCACTCACAGCACAACATTGAAAGAGTGGACAAGATTGTTCTTGGGTCAAAGTGCCAGAATAGTAGTACTTGTTTACATGCATGTTCAGTTGGGTGGTGGTCATGAATAAGCAACTGTCTGAGCACACTGAAGTGAGCAGTAAACTATGCAGACCTCATGTATACATTGTACATTCCTCCCCTATCTGATGGTTGATATAAGAATTGACATCAAGGTTGAACAAGTATGGAAAAGGGTGTAAATGTTAAAATATTCATGGTTTTGTTTTTACAGTTCCTCTCCACTGTGAAAGCATGATACTACACGTTTCTGTGACAGTAATGTTTTGACCATGAACACAGCAAAAACTCCCTTCCTATCCAATTATTTAAAAAAAAATGAGTCTGAAAAAGAAATACTAGTAGATAAATTTACAGTAGTTAGTCGAGTTATCCTTTGGGGTGCTTTCAGCAGCTTGTGGATGCAGGTGTAGATGCAAGAAGAGGCACATGGCATACCATTCACCAACTTTCAAGGTGTTGTGCATGTACTTGACTCCTGTACAGCCTCAGTCTGCAAGGGTGGCACTGGCTCCTGGAAAATTTATGTTATGCTGTACGTGTTCTTTGTGCCAAGCAGGAGATAGACATGGCCAGCAGCAACCACAAGCCTGTGACTGGGGGGTTGATTTGTAACTAATGTAAGGGCAAAGGACAATCGTACTGGTTGAACAATAAAGGTGCAGAATTTATTAATTTAGTTTGTGATTGGTTAGAAGAAGAGAGTAATTTTCAAGGCAGAAATAGACAAAACGAGATTACAGTTTTGTTGTCAAGAGAACAGATTGTGGCGGATATCACTTCTGACTGCTAGAACTTCAAACACGTTAGGTGATTGAAAATCAATGATAAGGTTCTTAGCTGTGTTCGGAACTAATCAATAAAAATGGGCTGTAAAGCAATTAGAATTGTGCTGGCATTTCAAGGAAGAATGGCAAGGAGGAAGCCTTAGTTTATGACACCTGCCAATGCATTGTCATGAAGTGAAACTGTTATATCCAACCATGTATACCAATTTATTCCTGCTTTATAGAAGAACAATAGTGACATTGAGCTTATGTGTGTGTGAGGCTTCAGTTCCCTTCGAGTGCAATCATATGTAGATATATAAGGTTGATTTGACTGGGCTGTTAGTTAGGTTTTATCTCAGATTCTCTTGCTGACGGAAAAATAATTGGGGAAAGCAGCTCTCCAAGAAGACCATACTCCAATCATGGTCTGCTACTGTTAAACTGGGTGGGTAGTTCTCATTTGAATGTAAGTTAAGTTCTTATGTGATTGCATTTAGGGAGTGAACTGCACTGGCCTATCTAACTCTCCGGTTTTGAAAAGTTCAACTCAAACCCAGCAGTTAAACACTAAATAAGTCGGCCAAATTGGATGAAGGTTGTATAATCAGTTGGGTCTGAGGGTGAATGACGGTGTTTGTCCAGGTTTTTTTATAATGAGGATAACCTATCAGTATCATTCAGACTTTTGCTGGCCTCCCCCCTCCCCCCAAAAAAGAAGGAGATGGTTAGACTTAAAGTTCAGCTGTTGGCCCAGTGGCACAGAGTACTGATTAGATTCTAATCTTACCACCAGCACTGCTCTATCATTAACCTATGTGGGGGAATATTGATCTATACTTTTACAAATTGAATGGCCTGATTCGTGGTTAAAGTCTGAAAGGTTGTTACAAATATATGGGCGACGGCCGCCTTGCTTCTCATTTTAGATCCCGTTCAGACCCGACTTTTAAAAACCGGTTGAAACCGCTAAATAATTAGAGGAGGAAAACCCGGCTAAAACCCTTAGCATTCATACCAGACTTTTCATAACCGGTTTTGTAAAAATCCTGTCCGGCCATGACTGCAGTTTGAATAACCGTTCATCACTCTTCCGATTTTGTCCTTGGCCTTCTTGTATGCCGTCTTCAGGTTCTTTGTCTTACTGTGGCACTGATCCTTTATCTTCGAGAAACCAGGCTTCTCCAACATTTTTGTTTCGGTAGAGCCCCCCCAAATTTTCGAATTTGGCAACTCCTGTTCTCCAAAAATAAGTATCAGGAGCGTCTCGTCCGCCGACCAGGTTGCGTATGGTGATTCCATCGCAAATTGAAGAGAAACCGTGGAAAACAAAAACAACCCGATCAAAAACCTTGCAGGTCGCACATGGCCAGGATGCTGACCCCGTGATCCCGGAATTATGACGCAAAAACCGGTTCAATAAACCCTTAGCGTTCAGACCAGGTTTTTCGATGGAAAAAAAACCTTCAAAAACCACCTCAGATTTAAACCCCTAAAAAACCAGTTGATTTGCATTCACACACACACAGGTTAAATGAAAACCGGCTTTTGAAAAACCGGTTGAAACCGCTTAATATAAGTTTGGTCTGAACAGGGTGTAAGTCAAATGGTCATGGTGTTCATCAATAACAAGAAGTTATATGTAAAGACAAATCTGTGCAATCAAATCTGAAGATTTCTACCCTGTAATAAAAGAAAAAATCAAATGATGGAGTGGCCTGCATTTTTTCATGATGGAGGTCTATGATTAGTATCATTAATTTTTGCATGGTATTGCCCAACTAGTTAAGGAGAAGTTTCGGAATGTGGTCCATCTTGCTGCCAAGTACCCTGGGAATAGAACCTGTCCTGCTGCTAAATAATTGTTTTCTACAAATCAATTTGTCACAGCTGAGAAGGTGGCCACCCAAGGGAGGAACATCCTC